AGTGTATTGTTATAATTGTGTCCTAATTAGATTTCCTGTAATTAATTCTCAAAATTGACATCAATCGAGTAAAAATTAAGACAATTTCTTTGTAATTACAATATTTACAATCATAGTTTTGTAAACACGCGTCTTCATATTTCAATAAATTTCTCCACAACCACAAGATTTAAAATCATATATGAAGATGATTATTAAAGCTAAAAGTATAGAGTATAAAATGAGTGTATTATTATAATTGTGACCCAATTAGCTTTCCTGTAATTAATTCTCAAAATTGATATCAATCGAGTAAAAATTGATACAATTTCTTCGTAATTACAATAATTACAATCATAGGTTCTTAAAAACGCGTCTTCATATTTCAATAAATTCCTCCACAACCACAAGATTTACAATTATATATGAAGATGATTATTAAAGCTAAAAGTATAAAGAATAAAATGAGTGTATTATTATAATTGTGACCCAATTAGATTTCCTGTAATTAATTCTCAAAATTGACATCAATCGAGTAAAAATTGATACAATTTCTTCGTAATTACAATACTTACAATCATAGTTTCATAAAAACGCGTCTTCATATTTCAATAAATTTCTCCACAACCACAATATTTACAATCATATATGAAGATGATTACTAAAGCTAAAAGTATAGAGAATAAAACGAGTGCATTTTTATAATTGTGTCCCAATTAGTTTTCCTGTAATTAATTTTCAAAATTGATATCAATCTAGTAAAAATTAAGACAATTTCTTTGTAATTACAATACTTGCAATCATAGTTTCATAAAAACGCGTCTTCATATTTCAATAAATTTCTACACAACCACAACATTTACAATCATATATGAAGATGATTATGAAAGCTAAAAGTATAAAGAATAAAATGAGTGTATTATTATAATTGTGTCCCAATTAGATTTCCTGTAATTAATTTTCAAAATTGATATGAATCGAGTAAAAATTGATACAATTTTTTCGTAATTACAATACTTACAATCATAGTTTCATAAAAACGCGTCTTCATATTTCAATAAATTTCTCCACAACCACAATATTTACAATCATATATGAAGATGATTATTAAAGCTAAAAGTATAGAGAATAAAACGAGTGTATTATTATAATTGTGTCATAATTAGTTTTCCTGTAATTAATTATCAAAATTGACATCAATCGAGTAAAAATTAATACAATTTCTTTGTAATTACAATACTTACAATCATAGTTTCATAAAAACGCGTCTTCATATTTCAATAAATTTCTCCACAACCACAATATTTACAATCATATATGAAGATGATTATTAAAGCTAAAAGTATAGAGAATAAAATGAGTGCATTGTTATAATCGTGTCCCAATTAGTTTTCCTGTAATTAATTCTCAAAATTGACATCAATATAGTAAAAATTAATACAATTTCTTCGTAATTACAATATTTACAATCATAGTTTCATAAAAACGCGTCTTCATATTTCAATAAATTTCTCCACAACCACAATATTTACAATCATATATGAAGATGATTATTAAAGCTAAAAGTATAGAGAATAAAACGAGTGCATTGATATAATTGTGTCCCAATTAGTTTTCCAGTAATTAATTCCCAAAATTGACATCAATCGAGTAAAAATTAAGACAATTTCTTCGTAATTACAATACTTACAATCATAGTTTCATAAAAACTTTATTTAACTAATATGTTTGTTGTAATTCACTGTCTAAATTTCACAAAAACTTAACGTATTTTTCCATAACTACAATACTAGATATATAATCGTAATTTTCTTAGTTTTATGCATTAAAAATTGCGAGAAAATAACATATATCTAAGTTAAAAAAAATCTTATTAACTTAATCTAATTGCACCGTTCATGTATTATATAAATTATTTCGTTCTAACGTTTCGTGCGCAAATAAAAATTTATAATTATAAAAAAAAAACTTGTTTCGGTTTCGTTTCCTTAGACAATCAAAAACCGCTAAACGACAAAATCACCAAGGTCATGGTTTTCTTTTGTTTTCTATTAAAGTGTTATTTTTTAATTACAATCATAAAACTATTTTCTATTTTTCTATGTAAATCGATTTTTCTTAAAAAAAGTTAAGATACTTTTTAAATAACGCTGCAACTTTTTGTTAACTTTTACTCAATTTATATTGCTTTTTATATATTGAAACAATGCAAACGTAATGTTAAAAACTATGCAAATGTATTGATTAAGATTACGTAAATCTATTGATTATAAATTGGATAAAGTATAGGAAAGAAAAAACAAACTATAATTGAAGTATGGAATGGACATTGTTTGAAACCATTTAATTTCTTATTGATTTCGTGCCTTGCGGCTTTCCAAACACCAAAATCACGATAACAATTGAATAGGAAGTCACGTCACGCGCGGAATAACTGTTCTTGCGGCTATTCCTTATACATACAACATAAATAATAAAATATATTATGTACTGCTATTACATTATATACAAATACTTACAATTATATGTGAATATTCAAATTATGATTTACTCTAAAAGTTTCATAAAATTAACAAGAAAAAGTATCTTTACATTTTGAACGTTTTTCTAGATAACTAAGATAATTATGTAGGAATGTGTAACATTTCAATTTGCTAAAATATTAATTTTTCATGAAAAACATATCAAAAAATGTATGATAATAAAGTGCGGTTTTTGCGTGCAGATAATCCGAAACTTATCTGCACGGTTTCCTCCACTTCTATCATATATAAATCGGCGTTAGAGTATTCAATTTCTTCAGTTTCACGAAAATGCTCGGCGTTAAATTAGGTCTGGCCTTCCTGTATCTGACTGTTCTCTTCGTGAACGTCGATTTCACAGATGCACGCGCCTTTCAGGACATCCGCAGCGATACGATAGAGACGCGATTCGGGGATGAGGAACCCAAGGATCCGGGATGGATGGTAATTTGCAAAATCTGCTCACGATGGGATTAGGATTTCATTGGGTTTAAGTACTTTCAGAGGCAGAAACTGATCAACTTCGGGGAGATCGCTTCGAAGGTGGGCGGTAAACTGGGCTCCGCCGGCATGAAAGTGACGGGATACATCGAGAGCTTGTGCAAGATGTTGAAAGCCATCGTACCGATCGTCGCCACAGTCTGTCATGTGAAGCAGTTCCAGTTCTGCGCTTCGTCGGACGCCTCCTTGGATCTGACAAACGCAATTCAAGCCAAAGACATCAACCTGAATATTCCCGATTAAATGACATCAACAATCCTGCAAACTCCATTAACTTTCCGTTACAGATTGACGATTTTAAGTGTAATAAAATGTTTGTTTCACTGCTAAAAGTGTTATGTAATTCACTGAATAATATACATTTACCTTCTTATATAAACGTAATATAATAAAAATAATGTTTTATCATCTTGTATTTAAATTAAAGTACATTTAAAAAATTTCAAAAGTTAATATCCTAATTGTATTAAGATTTGTAACTTATACAAATTTCATTTCTACATTTTCTTGTTTATTGCGAAAAGTGACAATATTATAGATAATAATGAATATAATAATTAAAGAGATTTCATAAAATTACTTGTTTTAATACAAAATGTCTTCATATTACAATCAATGTGTTAATTAAAGTAAATACTAATGCATGAATCAGAGCAAAAGATATCAATCTGACTAAACGTCAACTCCAAAAACTAAACTCAATTAACTTTCTTAACTTGGGTTTCTGTTGAGGATTAGCTTTGTATTTGATAAAATGTTTGTTTCACTGCTAAAAGTGTTATGTAATTCACTGAATAATACATATAAACGTAATATAATCAAAATAATGTTTTATCATCTTGTAATTAATGTCATTCCTTTGTACATTTAGAAATATTATTAAATATCAAAAAATTAATATACTAATTGTACGAAGATTTGTAACTTATACAAATTTCATTTCTACATTTCAATTACATTTTCTTGTTTTATTGCGAATACTAACAATATTATAGATAATAATGAATATAATAATTAAAGAGATTTCATGAAATTAATTGTTTTAATAACAAATGTCTTCATATTACAATCAATGTGTTAATTAAAGTAAATACTAATGAATGAATCAGAGCAAAAGATGTCAATCTGACTAAACGCCAACCCCAAAAACTAAACTCAATTAACTTTCTTAACTTGGGTTTCTGTTGAGGATTAGCGCTCAGTCTTTGTATTTGATAAAATGTTTGTTTCACTGCTAAAAGTGTTATGTAATTCACTGAATAATACATATTTACTTTCATATATAAACGTAATATAATAAAAATAATGTTTTGTCATCTTGTAATTAATGTACATTTAAAAAATACTATCAAATATCAAAAATTAATATACTAATTGTACTAAGATTTGTAACTTATACAAATTTCATTTCTACATTTCATTTACATTTTCTTGTTTTATTGCGAAAACTAACAATATTATAGATACGAATGAATATAATAATTAAAGATTTGCAAATTATAGTAATTGTTTTAATACAAAATGTATATTACAATCAATGTGCTAATTAAATTAAATACTAATGAATGAATCAGAGCAAAAGATGTCAATCTGACTAAACGCCAACCCCAAAAACTAAACTCAATTAACTTTCTTAACTTGGGTTTCTGTTGAGGATTAGCGCTCAGTCTTTGTATTTGATAAAATGTTTGTTTTGTGCACGCGTGGAAGACGAAGTTGTTACTGTTATGAAGACAGGCGGCGGGCGGAACAATCCACCTTTGCTCTTCTTGCAGAAGGGATAGAGACACGCACTTACAACTACTGTTGCGCCCTTCTTAACGCCCTTCTGCTTCCCGTCACTAACTTACCGCCAACTTTGCTGAGGGCGCGCGCTCCGCCGCAGATTTCGCATTTTCGGGCGGCAGAAGCATGCATCGTGTACGCTTTGTGGGCGCCCACTGAAGCGGACACCGGCGTTATGAAATTAATGTAATTTCATACGAAACTTTGTAAACGGAAAGGGCAAAACGCAAACATAATGCGTGCGGCAGAGAGTACTACTACTGCTGCTACCACTCTCTTCCAACGGATGGATGAGGGATGGGAGGCGAAGAATTAGATTCGAAATTGGTTTTGATCGCAAGATGTTGCTCGAACGGAACAATGCTGGTAACCCCGTTATGAATAACACGTCTCATTAAAATATTTTAATTGCCGCTCGTCGTATCGTTGGTGAGTGAGGGAGAGATTCGTCCCTGCACTTCTATGAATATTCAAATGGGCCTTGTAAACCGAGGACAGAGATGAAATGTAATATTTCAACTCGAGGAGGGATGAAAGAGGTGCAGGAATTTCCATTTATCCCCTCACTCGAACAAAGCTATACATTTCATTTTTTTATATTTATTTATTTACTTACTAAATCTACATTGCATTACAAATAAAAAGTAACTTCCTCTCTATAAGAATGTAAATTAGTTCTTCTTAGTTGAAGACTTCTATTTAACGTCTTCATTTATTGGATTATACTTTTTCCGCTTTTTGCTTTTCTCTTTCTTCGCCTTTTTTTCTTTCTTGACCTTATAAGTTTTCTCCTTTTCCAACTTCTCTTTCTTTTTGACCTTATATTTCTCTTCTTCTTCTTCAACATCTGAACCATATTTTTTTCCTCTTTTTACTTTTCTCTTTATTCACCATCTTTCTCTTTATTCATCTTCTTCAGATTCAATTTTTCTTATAGATGATTCAAGTTGTGCAGACAAGGCTATATCTTCTTCACTCCCTTCATCTTCAATACTATCTTCCAATTGAGGATCATCTTTGAATTGAGATAAATTTTAATCACAACTGAAATGTTTGGATATTTTTCATAGATGACCTTATCATTTTCTTCTTTAATAACTAATTTTTTGACATCATCCTCAACAGAATCCTGTATATTGTATATTATTTTTATAATAATATCCCTTTCTTCCTCGGTTATTGAATGAACATAAGATTTTCCTTCATCATTATCAAATTGCTCAAATTTAATCCATGAACAAACCTATACATTTCATTTTTTATATTTATTTATTTACTTACTAAATCTACATTACATTACAAATAAAAAGTAACTTCCTCTCTATAAGAATGTAAATTAGTTCTTCTCAGTTGAAGACTTCTGTTTAACGTCTTCATCTATTGGATTATACTTTTTCCGCTTTTTGCTTTTCTCTTTCTTCGCCTTCTTTCTTTCTTGACCTTATAAGTTTTCTCCTTTTTCAACTTCTCTTTCTTTTTGACCTTATATTTCTCTTCTTCAACATAATTTGTCCTTTTTTTCTCTTTCTTTCTTGAGGTGAATAACCCATAATCATCTTCTTCAGATTCAATTTTTCTTATAGATGATTCAAGTTGT